GAAGGAGCCAGTTCTGGGAAGATAAGGTTGAAACGGAGGCAACAGCAAGTGTAAAGGTCCTGAGGCAAGAATGGGGTCAGCATGTTCTGAAGAAACAAAAAGAAAGCCACAGTGGCTGAGATGTAGTGAATAAAAGGGAGAGTGGTGGGAGATGTTGGAGAAGTAGCCAGGGATCAGGTGACCTGGTCATAACCGCCTGTTATAGCGAAGGTTTTGTAACACCCCCTTTTCTGTCCTGAAATGCAGCTCCCCATCAACAGTGTAACTTTTTACACACAATTCAGAAAAAATCAGCATAATACCCTAATGCTCATATAAAGGAAGAGAAAAAGGGGAGTAACTTATAATTGAAATAGTGTGTGTTCCAATGTGTAACGCGGGGGCACAGCCAAGGTGTAACGAAGGTGCAGTGCGAGGTGGGAGGCCTGCGCTCTGGGCAGAGGCCCTGGGCACGTGGCAGCCGCAGTGCAGACTGATACAGGGGCGTTGTGTTGGTGACTCAGGTACCCTACAAGAGTCGTCACTGTTGGCAGCTGGGATCCCAAGATGGTAAGCACGTCTAGGTAAAGTTTCAAACGAAACGTGTTATAGTCTTTCCTTCACACACACGCTAGTTGCATTCCTGGAAATTTCAGTGTTTATTGACACTGCAAAAAATGCCCTGTGTTTACATGTGAAACAGAGCTGGGCTCTAGGCCCAGGTGATCCTAACCCAGGCCATCCCTCTGTGGATGTCCGGGATGTGAGGAGTCACGTGGGATGCGTGAGCCGCGCTGACTCACGCCTTGTAGGGCAGCTGGCTTCCCTGGACCCTGCTTGGTGAGTGCCAGTGAGGACTTCACCATCACAGTGACAACAGAAAGCACCCCTGAAGCCCCGGGGAGCGGCACTGCCTCTGCTGGGAGCTTCTGACTTGGGGTCATGAGGTCTTAGTAAGGAGACTAGCTTTTATTCTAAATGAAGTCAGAAGCCAAACGGGCATTTTAAGCAGGGAAGTGGTTTTTTCTTTCCTGGTCTCCTTGACAACGATTGCTGTCTGGTTCTGGTGTTCCGCGCCAGCATTTGGTTATGTGGAGAGGCCTGCCTGACCCACGGGGCTTGGGTACCCTGGACACTTACCTTCTGTCTTGTTTTATGTCCTTTAGCCACCGAGTATCACCTGGGCCTGCTGAAAGCAAAACTTGCCAAGTACCGGGCCCAGCTGTTGGAACCGTCCAAATCGGCCTCGTCCAAAGGGGAGGGCTTCGATGTCATGAAGTCGGGCGACGCCCGCGTGGCGCTGATTGGATTTCCCTCTGTGGGTAAGGTCAGTGATGGTCAGTGTGGGCCTTGAGGAAGGCAGGTCGTCTCCTCTCAAACATGACACTGTGCCTCCTCTCACTGCCTTTCTGAATTAGCTTCAGGGACTGAGAAGACCTGCCTCTCTAGGATCAGGGCCTACCCCTTTGTTTTCCTGACTTAGCGAACGTCGTTTCCTCTCGTCAGAAGCGGCTCCACTCGGTCTCTGACTCATCCCTCGGGCACACACCTTTGCTGGAGGCACAGCAGGGAACAGGACAGTTCTGAGCCTGCCCACACAGAACCTCCATTCTTGGGGCAGGAGAGACATAAGCAAGTGGAGTAAAAGATGAGGTGTCTCGGGGCGAGGACTGCTCCGGATGGTGTGCGGGTTGAGGGCTGTGGTCTTGCCATTTTATGTTGTAGGTTCAGGAACGCTGCTCTGGTGAGCAGATATTTGAGCAGAGGCCTGAAGGAAGTGTGGGAGTTTGCAGAGCCCTCCGGAGAGAACATTCTAGGCAGAGGGAATGGCGAGTGCAAAGGCCCATAAGTGGGAGCTGACTTGGTGTGTTCACGGGGGCCCAGGGCACGTGGGTCTGACTGAGTGGCAGGAAGGGCAGTAGGAGATGGGGTAGGGAGAGTGGGTGGCCTCGTGGGCTGCCATACAACTTTGGCTTTGAGTGAAGAATGAAGTGGGAGCCACTACAGTTTTCTAGAAGGTTTCTTCTGTAAGCTTAATTTAGTGTAAAATCCATGTTTAATTTTTATGTGAGGAGTTAAGATAAATATCATTGCAGAGTTTTGAGCAGCAAAGGGACTGAACTGACTGGCTTTTTTTTTGTAATATACTTTACATTTTAGAATAGTCTTGGATTTACAGAAAAATTACAAAGATGGTAGAGAGAGTTCCCATGTACCCACCTCTGGTTTCCTCTACTGTTACATCTTGTACTGGGAGAATGTACTTGTTGCCACTAATGAGTCAATAGAGACCTGTTATCATTAACTAAAGTCCATACTTTATTCAAATTTCCTTAGTTTTCCCCTATTGTCGTTTTTCAGTCCCAGAATCCCACCCAGGATCCCACATAACTTTCAGTTGTCATGTCTCCTTAGGCTCCTCTAGACCTTTTCTTGGGCTTGCTTTGATTTGAGGACTGACACTTTTGAGAAGTGCCTGTAGGCGTTTTGCAGAACACCCCCCAACTGGGATTTGTCTGATGTTTTTCTCATCGCTAGACTGGGTTGTGGACTTTTGGGAGGAAGAGACAGAGGTGAAGCGACGTTTTTGTCACCTATCAAGGGTACATGCTCTCAACAGGACTCGTCCCTGTTGACGTTGACCTTGAACGCAGGGCTGAGGTCGTGTTCCTCAGGTTTCTGCACTGTAAAGTCCCTGTTCTCCTCCCGTCCGTGCTGTCCTCTTAGGAGGGAAGTCGCTGTGGGCAGCTCACGCTTGAGGAGTGGGGAGTTAGCTCCAGCCCCTCGCGGAGGGAGCAGCCGCACACGTTATTCAGGGTGTTCTGCACGAGGGATTTGTCTCTTCTCTCCCATTTGTTCTAGTCATTTACTTCTGTCAGTGTGGACTCCCCGGAGTTTATTTTGTACTTTGGGTTCTAAACGCATGCTGTGTTACTTTGTTACTCAGGTTGTTGTAGCTCTGGGGCTATTTCAGATGGCTTCTTTGACATGCTCCTGTTGTGTTTGTAGCGCTTCCTTACTTTCTGATACTGCATGCTTTAGCCTCGGCTTGTATATTCCTTGCCCCAGCCCTGGAATTGGCTGTTTCCCCGAGGAGCTCTGTTCTTTGTATTGGAGAATGGTATGTAGAGACCAAGATCCTGGGTGCTGACAGGCTGTGTCGCAGAGCCCCTCTGGCTGCCGTGGGAGGAGAGGCTGAGGCAAGGGTGGGGGCGGCAGGCCAGTGAAGAGGCTGCTTGGATAGAGGCCGAGTGAGCAACAGCCAGGAGGCTTCGACCAGGTGCCGGAGGAGTAGCCTTTAAATCAATTCAGCTAAAAATGTGTCTGCCCCGTTACTCTGGGCCGCACGTGGGGGAGGTCGGCACCAGCCCCGTTTGTGGAGTGCTGGCTGCGGGCAGGGAGGATGCTCTGTGCCGTCCGTGCTTCCTTCCCTTTGTTCTCTCCTCTGCCTGTGGAACGGGGATGGGGTTGGTCTGCTCCCTGACTCCCTTCACACACGCGCACACAATGAAACTGGGATCATATCTGCACTTGCCACTGGCATTTTCATTTCACCGTGGATATCTGTCATGTTCACACGTCAGAGTTCCCTCGTCTCTAAGGGCTGCCTGGAAACCGACGCTGTGGTCCTATGTCATTACCGACAGTCCGTTCCTTCCCTCCCCTGCTGATGGTAGCTCAGTAGTCCCCAGACTTTTGTCTGACCTCTCAGGGCTGCGGTGACTGTCCTGTGCTGGGACCTTTGTCCCCTGGAGCTGGGGTTTCTGGAAGAAGCACTCCTGGAAGGGAGCATGGTAGTTCCCGGGTTTGTGGGTTTTAAAAATGGCCATCAGCACTGCTGGTTGCCCTCCACAGAAGCTCTGGCTGAGTCCATTTGGGGACAGTTAGGAACGTCTCCTGGTGCCTGGTCACGCACCCCCATGTGGTGCTGTGTCAGAGCGGGGCTGTGTGCTGGGGCAGGCGCAGATTGCAGTCAGACTAGTCTCTGCTTCGAGATCTGCAGGGTTCCTTCTTGATGGCATTTAAGTGCTTCTTAATCTTTGGAAACACTCACCCCAGTTGGATTTTGTTCCCAGTACCCAGCTGCATGCTTTTCTCCTTGTCCTCCCTTGGGGTGGGCGCAGGAAATACCAGGTCACTTTCGTTATCCTCTGAGCCAGGTGGACTGAGGAAGGGAAGTCGCTGTGGAGGAAGGTTACAGAACACACTGGAAACCTGTCACTGAGCCCCTGTAGCTCCTGCTCCTCCAGGCCGCTTGCAGTCCCTCCAGCCTGTCCCTTTCACCCTTCCATAGAACGTGAGCACCCCCTTTACCTGAGGTTTCCTGACCTGAGCTCAAACACCTTTAGTCACGGGGTGCTCATGACTCCCCAGCTCCACAAAAGCTGGACACAGAGTGGCTCACGGGCCTCCTGCTTCAGCCCCTCAGGAGGAGCTGCCACCCCCACTGCAGGAGCCCCTTCAGCTGAAGAGGGCTGGGACTGCCCCCAAGCGTGCCCTCTGCTGGCTGACCCCCTCACAGTCTTCAGTCCTGGCGTGGTGTCCAGATCCCTCTCTGCCTTTTTGGTCCTTTCTCATTTTTCCCAATTTTGTATAATAAAAATTTCCAAACCTGCAGAAGAGGTGGAAGAATGAGTATGATACACCCCCTGTCGAGATGCATTGATTACTGGCATTTTGCCGTATTGCACTCTCTCTTTATATTTGCGTGTATGTGTGTAGGGGTTTGTTTTTGTTTTGACTGAACCATTTGAGAATAAATTGCAGACGTCATGCTTCATCACCCTTTACCCCTAAATATTTAAGCGTATATCTCCGAAGAATAAGGACATTTTCCTACTTAGCCGCAAACTGTAATATCACACCAAATAAAATGAACAGCAATCCAGTCATCCTCTAGAGCCTGGGCCGTATTCTGATTTCAGCAGTTACCCCAAAAGGACTTTTGCAGCTGGTCTGTCCAAACTAGGGTCCATTCTGGGACCATGTATGGCCCCTGTGTGTTGTCTGTTTTAATCTAGACCTTTGTCAAGACCCTGGCTCTCTGAGAGACCAGAGCAGTCATCCTACAGAAGGCCCGTGCTCTGGAGTCGTCTGCTTGCTTCCTGGTGGGTGCTTTGGCTTGTTCGTCTGTTCGTTGTACTTCCTGTGAGCCAAAAGTCAGATGGAGGGCCAGGTCTGTGTTGGCCGGGTTCCATGTCGGAGGTGGTGCGTACCTCATTTTCCACCATGCCAGAACCCCTGATAGCTGGTTTCATTTCCAGAACCCCTGGGTTGAAGGGAAGAACGCTCTGTACCCTCTTCGTATGGTTACCTTACCCGACCCCCTAGCGACCAGAAAGCCACCTGTAGGGAGTTACTGTGGTGGCTCACTGAACTCAGGCCCTGTCAGTGTCCTTTTAGTGACTTTGACACCAGTGATTGTGCCTGCCGGCGGTTCTTATTAGTGGTTGTAAAATGTCAATTTTCTAGTTCTCTTGTTCCTTCCTCACTTATCAGCTGACATTCCCCTGTCGAGTAGCACTTCTCTCATCACTGTGGGCTGTTTGGTTACCCTGAAAGAGTTGCATCTGGAAAGGCAGGACACATGCTTGTGTGTTGGCCTGAAATGACCAAGCAAGGTGGTGGGTTCAGAGCTGCCCGCGGGTGACAGGTGAGTATTTTCAGGCTTTAACTCTTCCGGTGTTATTATGAACTCATTAGTTTTGGCCTTTTCTTTTGATTTTACTTTCCAGCCTGCCAAGGGCTTTTTTCCCCAGGTGAAAAGCCCAGGCTGGGAGAAGCTGCTCTAGTTACCAAGGGCTGTGCTCCTGGGGTCTGGACCCTGTGGCCAGATCCCACCACCGTTTTGGGAGTCTGTGCTCTCCGACCGTGGGAAGGCCCAGGCCTCTGTCCTGCAGAGGCCAGACAGCATCAGGGTGTCCTCCGGGTTGGCTTCTAGTAACTGTTGCTCAGTGTCTTGGCAGCCGTTACCCTGGGGGCCCTGCGTCCACCCCACCAGGTTTCATCCTCCCTCAAGATGCCAGGAGCTCCCCAGGGCAGAGGGTCTCGACTTGAGGCCTCTGTGTCCTTCGCATGCCCATTCTGGGTTTCAGAGGCCTGAGGGGGTGTGAGTGAGACGTGCCCCCAGCCTTCCTGCTTGCCACTGAGGGGGCAGGGTCCGGGTGGCACTGGCCCCTTGCCACTGCATCTCAGACTTCCTGTTCCAGGTGCCCTGCTGACTAGGATGGGGGTAGGAGGCCAGGGCTGGGTTTCTTTCCCTCCTGGCGCTGCCCACTGCTTTGCTGGCCTCTGGGCCCCAGTGTCCATCACTGTGGTCTTGCTGTGCTCTAGGTGTGGTGCACCACATCCCGTAGCATCTCCTTGAACCCCCATGCGGCCCTGTGAGGTAGGGACCGGGTGGATGGCCAGTCTACATCTGAGGACTCTGAAGTCAGAGGATGAAGTTTCTTGCCCACGGTGCCCCAGCAGAGGCAGGATCCAAGGCAGGGTCTCTCTAACTCCCGGCCAGGTCACAGCCCCATTCCCACAGGGAACTCTGATGCAAGTGTTCGCATCCAGATCCTTCCTGGCTCACCTCTCTGTTCCTTGGCAGCACATTCTTCCACATCTGGCTCCATCTCAGACTGTAAGGTCGATACCTCCTTGCACATCTCCTTACCCCTCCCTGGGTGAGCAGCAACTTCCAGTGCCATGGGGCTATCTCTGGGGCCCAGGAGGGTCTGGAGGGTGTGTGGAGCTAGGGGAGGGCCCCTGATTTACTTGGGGAACCCACTTAGAAACCAGGTTCCTGTGTCCACTGAGACAGGCCTTGAGGCCTCCAAGGAACAGAGGGGCCTTCTGCTGCCTGAACCCCCCAGGCGTGGCCAGAGGCGCCTTTTCCAGCTATTCTCTTCACACCCATCCAAATTACCAAGCCAAGTCGGGGAGACCTCTCTGCTGCCTGCACCGGTAGGCTCCCAGCCTGTGGGGAACCTCCAAAGGGGCTGGGACTGGACTTCTCACTGCAACGACCATCTGTTTCTCCTAGTCCACCTTCTTGAGTCTGATGACCTCCACAGCCAGCGAAGCTGCGTCCTATGAGTTCACAACCCTGACATGTATCCCTGGGGTCATTGAAGTGAGTTGGTGTTTACTGGGTCCAGGGGGAGGGGTGTGAGCTGGTGTCTGTGATTGTGTGTGTGTATGTTGTCTTTGGGTGTCCCTTGTGGGGAAGGCTCTAAACTGAGCTGCTTGGCCCTCAAGCATTGGCACCTCTCGGGGTTCTGGCTGCTGGGACCCCAGGATGCCTGGGCTGTCCTGGAATTCTGACTGGTTCTGCAAGGCAGGCCAGCGTACGGCAGCTCTCCCTGGTGTCCCTTCATGCACTTCTGCCCCACACCACCCCACCTCAGGTTATTCATTGCTGGTTGTCTGGATCCTTCCTTTTCCCGTGAGGCTTCGGCGCCTGTGGCAGCTGGGGTCCTGTGGCCTTGAGCCTCTCACAGTGAAGTGATTCATCTGCGAAGAGCTGTCACCATCAGTGATGCGCGTGTGGGGTTGTAAAAGCTCAAGAGCTCCCCCAGGTGGCTCTCAGCCCGCAGGCTGTGCCGGGCTGGCGCAGTGACAAGGCTTAGGCTTGACCCTGGAGGCTCACCCTGGGCTTCCCACTGCCCCTGAACCACAGGCTGTTGTAGGTGTTCTGGGTTTAGGCAGGCCCTTCCCAGCACTGACCCATCCTCACTCTACCTTCTCTTCTGCTTCCTAGTACAAAGGAGCCAACATCCAGCTCCTGGACCTTCCTGGAATCATTGAAGGCGCAGCACAAGGTGGGAGGCGGGAGCAGGTGGGGGAGACAGGGTGGAGCTCAGCGCCCAGGCGCCCTCTTCCACAGGGTCTTGGGCGTACTGGCCTCACTGTTAAAATTGGGTGTGGCTACGGAGGGTTGCTGGGTAGGGGTAGGCTTACAGCCCCTCACACTGCTCAGTGCTCTGTGCTTAAGGGACTCTGGCCTCCTATGTTCCTGGGAGGCCCCATCTCGAATCTGAGGAAACTGAGGCCCAGTGAGGTGAAATGACTTGCCAAAGGTCACACAGCTCACCAGACAGGTTTGAATTCCCACATCCGCTCTATGTGCTCCACCATGCCACTGAGCAGACCCCTGAGAGAAATGGATACTTGTTAGCTGGCCAGCTCAGACCACACTGCTGGTCCTAGAGCCGTGTCCTTTGTTGTTTTGTCTTTGAGATGGGAACATGCCTGTGGCTTCTGGTGGCAGGTGGCCGCCTGCAGCATTTGCAGAGACAGTTACCAGCTGATGGTTATCCAGCACTTGTAAGTGCCGGGCTGGTGCTGACCGTTATCTCGCTTACTCCTCAGATAGCCCTGTGACTTAGGAAGTGTCATTATTTCCTTTTCATAGCCAGGAGGGACCTTGGGGACAGAAAGATAAAGAGTCTGCCCCACACGACTATCCACCTGCAAGTGCTGGAGCTGAGGCTGGAGCCTGCCTCTCTGGTTCCACAGCCCTGTCCTGCTGGCCTCCTCCCTAGGAGTCTCTGCCATCTCTCCTCTGTGCCCTCCCATGCCCCACTACCTCATCAGGGTGAGGTCCTGCTGCTTAAATAGGGATGGGGGGAATGGTAATGGTCCTCAGGAACCTGCTGTCCCAGTCAGCACCATAGGGCCTGGAGGTGGTCTGGCCCCTGCTGGGGAAATACACTGGTGAGAATCAGGGGCAGCTGGCCCAGAGAGATCACTTGGTCCAACCCCTTGATTCTCAGAAGGGGAGGCAGGTCACGGTTGGAACCCACAGTGTTTAGATCTGGTGTTGTGACCTCAGTCAGAACTTGCTGCGTGACCTTGGCAAGGTACCTGACTTTTCTGGTCATCTGATAATAACAGGGTCTGATCTTTGTGTGGCAGTTCCTAAAGCACCTCCTCCTGTGTTGTCTCATGTGATCCTTTCTGTAGCCCCAGGTGGGTGGGTGCTATCACCCCATTTTCCAGAAAGGGGAGACAAGTTCAGATCCTGGTACCATGCTAGCTTTGTGATCTTGGGCAAGTGACTGAGTAACTCTAAGCCAAGCCTCAGTTTTCTCATCTGTAAGATGGACATGATAACACCGATGATACAGGATAGTTCTGAGGATTAAGTGAGGCAGTGTTCACGAAGCACTTAGCAGGGGCCTGCTGCACAGCAGGGGCAGGGGGAGGAAGGAACTCCTCCTAAGCTGGTGATGTCGGAGTTCCTTCTAAAACAAGTCTCCACGAGGGAAACAGCATGTGGATTAAAGAAAAATGCCAAGGAAATCACAGCCCAAGGGATGGCACATAGCAGGTCTGTAAAGGGCAGGAGTCTGGGGCGCTGGAGGCTGGGTAGGCGCCACATGGGTCTTGTCTGTGTCACTGTGTAACCATATCCCTTCCCCCTGTCCAGGGAAAGGCCGTGGCCGGCAGGTGATTGCTGTGGCACGCACAGCTGACGTTGTCATCATGATGCTGGACGCCACCAAGGGAGAGGTGCAGAGGTCCGCAGAGTGGGACAGGGGCAAGCTGGCATGTCTGGGGAGGCCCCTCAGTGTGGCAGCAGGACACTGGCTCCAGCTGATGTCTCTGAGCTCGTGGTGGACAGTCCGAGGGGCCTTGGCCCTCTCTCATGTGGGAGTAGTGGCGGGACTGTCTACAGGCTAAACGCAATGTAGTCAGCTGGAACATGCTCCCAAGGGGCTTGCGTCCAGCTCAGAGGTGTCTGGAGGCTGGGGACTGTGGCGTACCATGCCAGCTGAAGCCTGTCCTGGATGTTCCTTGACAGCACAGGCTATGCCGGCTCCGGCCCCTGCCTGCAGAGGCCTGGGTGCCCCAGTCACTGCCCAGAACCTGCCAGGAGCCCAGCCTCAAGCAACCAAAGCCTTGTTCCTTCCTTGGCCTGCTGGCTGATTGGCACATCGGCCACAGACCCAGCCAGTCCCCCCTTAGACTGGGCACAGGGTCCAGAGGCTCTGTCTCATCAGCCTTGACTTGTTGAGAAGGAATGTTCTGGGTTCCTGGTGGATGGGAGGGGAGGACGTTGGTCTGTGTTTGGGTGGGCAGGGGCTTCCTGTGTAATGCAGAAGCTGCACAACCTGCCTCTGGGCATCTCTGAAGGCTTGTGGGGGCTCTGCCCAGGTCTCTGCTGGAGAAGGAGCTGGAGTCGGTTGGCATCCGCCTCAACAAGCACAAGCCCAACATCTACTTCAAGGTGAGGCCCCTCGCTAAGCAGGTTCGGGACTGCCTCTGCAGGCCGCTGAGGCGTGGGAGTGAATGCAGCTGCCCCTTTGTCAGCAGCTCTCCCTCTCTCCTCCTGCAGCCCAGGAAAGGTGGCGGCGTCTCCTTTAATTCGACAGTCACGCTGACCCAGTGCTCGGAAAAGCTGGTGCAACTGATCCTGCATGAATACAGTATCCTTCCCTAAGGAGCAGCGGCGGCGGAGCCTGGAGCCCACAGGGCAGGGGAGGGGCAGCCTGAGACAGGAGGCCCGTGGCCCAGGGTGACAGCACACCACCCCAAGCCGCCTCATATCCATCTGAGCAGCCTCCAGGAAAGCTGCCGCCGGCTGACACCAGGCGCTTCCTGTCCCCTGTGCCTCTGTGCTCACCAGGCTCCAAGCTGGCAGGGCTGCAGCCGCGCACTCAACAGTGGCTTCCTGGCACTGTGTCAGGCAGTCACCTCTGGAAAGAAGATGAGGTGGTGAGGTGGGGCTGAGGGAGACAGCCCCAGAGGACCATGGATTCCTGGCCTGGAGAAGCCTGTGTGCATACCACTGAAGTATTATCGAGGAGCTGGGTGAATCCTAGTGCCCTGGAAACCAGGGCAGGGCCCCAGGGACAGAGTCGAGCTCAGCATAGGCAGAACTCATGGTGGAACAGGCTGTGTAGCTAGGTGATGAGGCCCTCGTCACTAGGATGGCCCCAGAGGAGATTCCCACGTGGGGAAGCTGGGTCAGAACCGTGCTTCCCGCCAGTGCTCCTAGCACTGGACCTGGGCTTCCACTGAGCTGCTCTGGGGATTCTGGCAAGTGCGTTTTTTTTTTCTTACTTAACAGTGAAGATTTAAACCATTGATTAAAACCTTTCCATATTGTGGTTCCTTTTGAAGAAAAATGAGGGAGCTCCCCAGACTTTAAAATCTTATGAAACCTCAAAAGCAGATAACTTCCAAGGTCCCTTTGAGCATCGTATTTCCTGATGGGGGCACGAGGGGCTGCTGGCACACAGGTTGCCCTTAATCTGAGCTCCTCAGAGATCTTTAACGCGGAAGTGCTCTTCCGAGAAGACTGCTCCCCAGATGAGTTCATTGATGTCATCGTGGGCAACCGCGTGTACATGCCCTGCTTGTATGTAAGTGGTGCCAACCCTCCAGGGTGTCCCTGCATGCGGGGAGCTCTTGTCCCAGGCTGGCCCAGATGGGAGACGGGCTTCTGAGAGGAGCAGAAAGAGCCTGGAGCCATCTCCCCCCTCACCTCCCCTCTACCCCAGTGGCTGTTTGAGTCTTGCAGATGTGGTTAGCTTGACACAGGGGTTCTAGCCCAGCCTTTCCTTCTAGGGGCCAGTGGCCCCAGGCCCCTTCAGCCTTGCCCCATCCTTATGGTAGACACTTAGCATCAGCCCCCTCCCCTTGTGCCTCGGAATGCAGCGGGAGGAGCCCTGGGTAGGCCGTGGCTGCCTGGGGCCCTGTTCCTACACTGCTTTGTTCCTTTCCTTCTCTAACACCTTTTCAATCCCAGGTTTATAACAAAATCGACCAGATCTCAATGGAAGAAGTGGACCGCCTGGCCCGGAAACCCAACAGTGTGGTCATCAGGTGAGGCTCCCAGCCTCCTGCTGCCCTGCTCTCCTCTCTGGGCATGTGAGCCCGGCAGTCAGGCCTCCCAACCGTCTCGGCCAGGCAAAGCCTCCACTCACAGCCCAGGGAAGACAGTCCTGATGGCTGCTGGTCACCTTGGCCTGGTCCCACGCTGAGTTGGCCTGGGCAGGGTGGGTGATGTCGGGTGGGCTCTGGTTAAGAAAATAGAAGGATTTCATCCACCAAGGTAAATGGGTAAGAATTGTTAAAAAGCTTAGTAGTTAACTGCAGACCCCCTGAAAGCCCCAGAGTGTGAGCCAGCTGCTCCTGGTGCTCTGGAAGATGTACCTTCTGTCACTACAGTGGGAAGGGAAAGGGAACTGAAGTCCTCAGGCAGCAGGGCCGTCCTTGGCCGCCATCTCCCTGCCCTTCTTTGAGGCTGTGTCGTGAGGGTGTCGCCTGGCTCTGGCTGACACCTGTGTGCTCGCTTCCCACCATTGCTGCAGGCTTCTCTTTTGGGGGGGACTGACTGGGGTGCTCCACTCTGTTAGTTTCCCAGCTCAGACAAGGGCTCTGTGGCTTCACAGTGAGGCTTGGCTTATGGGGAGCGAGATGCTCGGGGACCAAGTAGGGGTGACTGGTGCACATGATGAGTGAGGGTCTTGGACCCAAGTGTGAGGACCATATCCTGGGCATTGCCAACTGCCACAAAGAGCAGCAGAGAGTGAGTGTCCTTCCCACAGGACAGCTTCAATTCCTCTCCTGCTGCTGCATCCCAGGCTCCCTCTGGGGCCTCCTGAGGGCCTGGCCGTCCTCAGGGTGTGAGAGCACCCGGACACCACACCGTTACCTGCTCAGGCTCATTGCAGCTCACGGGAGGAGAGGGGACCCGCTCAGGGTCATACTACTGCAGACTGTCGAGCCAAGGGCCATGCCGTCACTGAAATCCCTGCTAGGCTGCCCTGTGCGACTCGGCAGCCCCTCCTGCTTCTGGGAAGGGGTGAGCTCTGGATTGTCATCCTCTGCCCATAGTCCCATCAGAGCCCCTCGCCAGTCTTCTAATGGCAGGTGCCAGGAGGGAAGCCCAGCCTTGAGGCGCCCTGTGTCAGTTAGAGATGCTATGTGTCCTCCCCAGAGTGCAGCTCTGAGCCCCTGGAGAGACAGCTGAGCTTTGTTTGGCGTGATCGTGGTTGGTGACTAGAGGATTGGTGACAGCATCGGCAGCTGAAGTGTCAAGCTGCAGTCAGAACTATGGGCTTGGCTCCCCACTGGCACCAGCTGGGCCACACTGGCCTTGGTGCCCATGCCCAGCCAGATGGAGGTTGTCCTCTGCAGCAGTGGGAAAGCAAAGACCCCAGCCCCTAAGCCCATGGGGCTCCTCTGACTGGCTGCCTTCCTCCCTGGTAGCTGTGGCATGAAGCTGAACCTCGACTACTTGCTGGAGATGCTTTGGGAGTACTTGGCCCTGACCTGCATCTACACCAAGAAGAGAGGACGTGAGTTGGGTGGCATGTGGCCTGAGAAACAGGCTGAGCCTCATTCTCCCTAGAGGGCTGCCAGGCTCTGTATGTGGTACCCAGAGGGCCCAGTGCTCTGGCCCAGCTGGTCTTGTACATGTCTCAGCCTTTCTCCCATCTCAGAGCCTGTACTGCTCTCTACCTCAGGCTCACAGAGACCTTGGCCCAAGCCCTTATAGCAAAGAATGCCAAGCTCTGGCGCCACTGGTCTCGAGGGTGCCCGGGTGGGCTGGGTGGGCAGTGGGATACAGGCTGTCCTGGAGTTCCCCACTGGCTACAGCAGTAATCCCCTCCCAACCTCCCCTAGCAGTGGCAGACCCCACATCAGGACTGTAGCCAACTGGAATACTCAGGAGCCTTCCCCATGACCCCACCCACCCATGTATGCACACCTCACACACCCCGGGAGCCAGTGGCTGAGTTTGCATTGACCTTGACCGTGTTGGCAAGGGAAGAGATGCAGCTGCCTCCGACTGGTTACCAGCAGCTGTCACATCTTGCCAGTTCATTCCACATGCTTCACGTGGCTCGTCTCAGTCGGGCTCTCATGGCTGATTGGGTTGCAGGCAGTTTGAATCCTGGACTTAGATTTATTTAGATTTTCTGTGTTGAGGTCAAGGTCATAGGAGACTACATGGGGACATGGGAATCTATAGCAAGGGTGTGCCAAACAGTTGGGGGAAGGTTAAGCCAAGGTGGGAGGCCGGAAGGGCCTCTGCGCCCATATGGTAGGGAATCACAAAGCAGCATGGGGCCGTGACTGTGACTGACTGCCCCCTGCAACCTCCACCTATGCAGAGAGGCCAGACTTCACGGACGCCATCATCCTCCGGAAAGGGGCCTCCGTGGAGCATGTGGTGAGTTGACAATACCCGTCCAGACAAGGGTGTCAGGGAGCCCTGCATCCTGTGTGAGGGGCTCTGCCTGAGCTTCTCCCGGCCCTTGGCTGGCACGCTGCAGTGGCGGAGCGGCTGAGGGCGGGCTCTGGAGTTAGGGCGGGCTCTGGAGTTAGGCCTGGGTGCATCCTGACCCCCTTGCCAGCTGCACGTCCAGCCTCTGCACCTTTCCAGTGAGGCAGCTGCGCTGTTGCCTCCCTGAGGGGCCGTGCCCGAGGCTGAGCCTGTGGGCACTCGGCCTGCTGCCTGGTGCATGGGAGATGTCCAGGAAGTGGCAGCGTCCCCACCCTGTCACATCCTTGTGTGCAGGGTCCTCAGGGCCACGCCATTGAGGTGTTTCGTCAAGGAGAGCTGCTGCTCTGGGCACTTCTGTATTGTTACTCCCCCTTTTGCTTCCCCAGGGCTGGCCTAGGGCTCAGGTTGCCACCTTGTGTGTCCTTGGTCCCTGCTGGCTTCCTGTACCCCCTTCAGCCCCCAGCATGACCTGCCCCTCCCTACTCTCACATCCTGCCCCCTAGCCTGGGAATGGCTTTGAATGCTTTCTGCACTCAACACGTTTATTGAGCACCAACAGTAAACAAAATAGCCCCAGTTCCTGCCAGAATTGGGGTCCTTTGGGGTCAACAGATGTGAAACTGCCAGTGCCAGAGCTAAGCACTTGCACGTAAGGTGAGTGCAGTGAAGGAAGGGGATGGGGAGCAGCAAGGGGCGGCGCCGAATCTACACAGAGAAGCCAGGCCTTGGAGGACCAGGCCTTGGAGGAGGGGACCTGACGGCGACGAGTGGGGGTGGGGGAGCCCCAGGCAGGGGAGCAGGTGGACGAAAGCCCTGAGGTGGAGGGGCTCTGCACAGGCTCAGCGAGGGAGGCTGCATTTCTGTCTGGAGCTTTGTGACCCTGCGCCATCTTTTATGAAGATCGTCGGGCCCTGCAGGAGCAGGTGATGCCTGAGGACCTGGGCCCATGCTCCAGGTCACACACTTGTCTTCTTGGGCTTTTGTTTTCCTCGTTTTGTTTTCCTCCAGCTCGTTTCTTCTCGGGGTCTGTGCTGTGGACACTGGTTGCTGGGGCTGCAGTTTGGCTCATACATTCATTCATTTGGCAAGGCCAGCCTGAGACCTCTCCCAGCCTAGAGGTGCTGGTACAAATGGCAGGGCTTGGCCTTGAAGACTAGCATGCTGGGCAGAAGCCAAGGAGACCCCTCCCAGATCCCTTCAGTCGCTCACAAGGAGCTCCATGTGGGAGTCCCTGTCCCTGGGCCTGTTTCAGAACCCATGATTGCAGTGTCTTCTACTGGGGCCCAGCAGACTGTTGACACTGGTGCCCATGAGTGCTGGCCCTCCCTGGGGTTACCCTGCACCTTCTGTGGCCACTTTCTTCAACCCTCTCAGGCCCTTGGCCACTTACCCAAGAAGATGTGGGGCTTCAGCCACGCCCAGGAAGAAAAGCAGGAGATTGCGGGAGAAGGGCCCTGCAGGCAGTGGGAATGACAGGTGCTGAGGCCCAGAGGCAGGAGTGAGTGTGAGGACTGCTGGCTGTCTGCTGTCAGCTGGCACCAGGGTGCTGGACCCAAGGGTGAGGAGGGGCCGGCAGGAGGGGAGGAGCTTTGGAGGCCTTGCTCCAGAGTCTGGACTTTGTCCCAGAGAGGCCTGGTCTTCGGTGGTTCCTGCGCGCCCTCCCCCGCAGGTGCCTCCCTCCCAGGACATCCAACTGTCCCAAGTGCTGTGGAGCATCCGTAAAGGCTGACCTGAATGCTGACACCAGGGACCCAAGGTAGATGAACCAGGTAGACATTGCAGCCAGGCAGACCTGGGGTCTTTGGGTTGCACTCAGCCCAGGCCCCTGGTACATATTTAGTGAGAGCCGACAAAGGCCTTGCCTCCAAAAGGGTCATGGGCCATAAGCCTCAGAGGCAGAGAGGACCGTGCAGGGCTCTCAGGAGTGAGCAGCACAGTGAACTCTGAGGAGCAATAATCTTCCCATCCCCAAACAGTATGCTGTCTCCCATATTGAAAAAGATCCCCTTGGATGACCTTCCATTCTCCCTCATCGGTAGAGACACAAGTACAGAGAAATACTTCTCTCCTGCAAACTTGGTAGTAAATGGCTTCTACTGATAATGCTTGACCTTAGTGTCAGAGACGCTAGAGCATGGTGGGGCCTGTGGCAAACTGGAGAGTACACAGCCCATCTGCCTCAAGGGTGTGAGCACCGGCCCAGTGCTCCCAAAGCTCTTAGGGTCCTAGGAGAATGCTTGTGATTGTGTGATCCTGCCTTGTAAACTTTGCCAGTGGGCTTAGTTCTTTTTATTGTTGGACAAGCTGCATAAAATGTAAAATGCATGTTTGCAGGCCAGAGCTGACTACTGGGCCATCAGATTTCATTCTCTGGTCTAGAAAACAGCAAGTGTTGGAATTGATTGCGTGGGTGTCTCTGCTTGTCACTGGCAGCATGGCAGCAGTGTCCTCTCTGCCGTGGCCACCCAGAGGAGGCCCAGATCAGGCTGGCTCCCTGTATGCACTGGGGAAATGTTCTTGCAGGCCTAGCGTCCCCACAGCAGCCGGGCTGAGGCACCTGCTCCTCTGACTAGGGCCTGGAGGGCTTGTGACACGTGCACGGAGAGGCACCACCCACCGTCTTTGCCTCCCCTGCGCCCGCCTGCTGCTGTGCAGCCAGGGGTCCACATTCTCAGGGAAGCGCTGGCTGCCCTTCCAAGGTCTCCTCCTGCCGGCCTCCTCAGCGCTCTGGGATTCCCGTGACCTCAGCCCTACCTGGGAGTGTGAAAGGATGTGGGCTGTCCTGGGGTGGGGGGTAGATGATGTGACATGCTGGAGGCTCCAGGTCACAGCTGCGGCCAGGAGACAGTGATGAGGTGTGGTGACTCCAGGCTGAAGTGAGGTTTCCTGAAAACCACTCTTGCCCATCTGAAGGAACATTGTCAGGGCTGTTGTTCAGGCAAGGCGGGCAGAGGGCCACCCACAGCCAGATCCTGGACCTTGCTCTGTGAAGAACAGTCCTAACCGGGCACCACAGCCCTTGGACAGACCTGGGAGTTGGGGCGTCAGAACAACCTGCAGCCATGAATAGGAGCCGGCTTGTGGATCGAGCACGTGGCGCTCCTTGACTCAAGGCCAGTGCTTATTTGAGCATCTGCCTTGGAAATTGCTACTACTTGGCACGTGCCCCGGGCTTAGGTGTGTGGCTGAGCTCGATGTGGGGTTGGGCACAGCCTCATCTTGCTGTCTGACTCTCTCATCCTCTAGTGCCACCGCATCCACCGGTCGCTGGCCAGCCAGTTCAAGTATGCCCTGGTGTGGGTGAGTCTGGGTGGAAGGTGGCTGGAGTCATGCCCAACATAGCCCCTGGGTTAGGCAGGAGCAAGGTGTTCATGCTTGTGTGCACAGTGTCCCACTGCATGGGGTGTGCCTGCTGACCCAGGCTGGACTCGGGCCTCTCCCACCTTGGGATCCAGGGGTGGTTAGACCACTGGGGATGTCCTCTTATCTGAGGCCTGTGGGGTTTGCCAGTGCCGGGTGTTCACACACCCCAGCACAGACATGCCTTCCTCCGTGATAGCTCCATCACCTTGGGCTTGGTCAGTACAAGGCTGATGTGGCCCCCTGCCCTGTTCCCCACCCAGGGTACCAGCACCAAGTACAGCCCACAGAGGGTGGGCCTGACCCACACCATGGAGCACGAGGATGTCATCCAGATCGTCAAGAAGTAGTGGCTCCTGCCAGGCCTCCCCCACCCCCACCCCATCTCCCTGGGGAGTCGGACCCAGTGGGACACACCAAAGCCCAAACAGGAAAAATACAAATACAACTCAGGAGGGGTCTCTTAAGTCTCTGCTGTTTCCAGAAGTTTCCTCAGTAGGCAGATGATGACGAATGTGCTGTGGCAAAGGGATGGCTGAGGTTGGGGGACTTGGCTAGGGGGCATTTCCCATGAGACTGGTCCCTCAGTTCTGAGTTTGGAACCCTGGGCCTGTGCCCCACCCCTGGCCCCTTCAGGCACTAAGGGAGCAAGTTGTCCACCTGGCCCCGGTCAGGGCCTAAAGCAGATGGCTTGCTTTGGTGCTGGGCAGGGGGCCTGGCCTACCTGCGTCCCTGGAGGCAGTAGTTATTGTTGGGGCCCCTCAGCCCCTGCCAGCTTCTCTGGCACTCAGGGAGGGGGCTCCCAGGATACAACTCCCTCACACTCCCCTACTCAGAGCTGCCCCAAGGTGGAAATGAGAGGTCAGTGGCTTTAAAGGCCCAACTCACGCCCTCCATAGCCTGAGGGATCCTGAAGTACCGCCCCCTCCCAGGGCAGCCCCTGATCAGCACAGAACCCCAGGAGCTGGGCCCTGCACAGACACCTGGGGTGGGGACTTTGGAGTTTGGGTTCTGTGTTTTCTCTCAGGCCCCTGACATCTCAGATCTCCTTTCTGAAATAAAGGATGAAAACAGCTCCTGTTCTGACTGAGGACAATTTTATAAATTTACTGAACCTGGTTGTCAGGTTGGGTCGGGGGCAGCAATGAGCCTGGTGATCAGAGAGTGGGTAGAGCCTGGGCCCTGGTGGAGCAAGCCCAAGTCTGGGGTGCAAGGGAGAATGTGGGGTGTTCCAGGGTGGGCTCTGCCCTGCAGAGTTGGCCAGGGGCTCTAGGCCCCAAACGTGGCCCCTCCTGAAGCCAGGCCTGGCTGCTGAGCTGGGCAGCCTCCCTAGAAGGCCCACGGAACCCTTGGGGCAGCAGGGCGGCCAGGGATGTCTCCTGTTCCTCAGAAGCTGGGGTGGAGAAGCCTCGGGGTGGTGCCAGAGGGTGGCGCAGGGGTCCCTGAGCCCCACTGGCTGCAGCGTGTTCTCCAGGGCAGCAGCCTGCCCTGGGCCGCCCGGCTCGTAAGTGCAGAGCCAGGTCTGAACCACCGTCTGAGGCTTCGGGGCAGCGGTGGGGCTTCCTGCTGGAGGCGCACCTTTAGGGGTGAATGGTAACGAGTTTGTGAGGCTGCCAGGCACTGGGCCAGCGGGAGGGACAGAGGGCTCCCCTGGGGGTCTTCAGGCCGGGCTGGAGTGTGGAGCAGGCCCACTGCAGCTTTCCAGGCTGCTCCCGGCTCCTCTGTCAGCTGCTCAGGCTCCTTTCTGCAGACAAAACAGGAATAATAGACATCATTAAATATACATGAGGCCCCAGGCGGTCGGCGTGGTGGGCTGGGCCTCCTGTCCCCACACCTGGAACTGCTCTGCTAGGCCAGCCACACTCCTGGGGCCAGCCACAGGACCCCCATTAGGCAGCATGCAGGAAGGGAGCAGGCCACGGGACTCAGGTAAGGGCCCTGGGCCTTTGGGGTCTGTCACTAGCCCCCCAGGTTTCAGGGGGGAAGCGGGGAGAGAGCAGTAGCAGAACTGGGGCTTTGCCCCTAACTCATTGTGAGGTTGTTTTATCAGCCTCAGTTTCTTCACCTGTAAAATGGGCACAAGGATGCCCATGAAATGGCCCTCTCGGCAATGGTGGAATGCCAAGACAGGTGTGTGCTCAGTGGCTTACCTCAGCCCCCCTCCCCACTGCCATGAGGCCTAGCCATGAGGTCCTAAGTGAGGGTGTCTACTTGGGGAATGGTCACTGCCACTTCCTGCCTTATAGTAGGAAAGGGCCCTGTGTTCACAGGGCTTCAGATCCAGGCCTATTCTGCCCCGCAAGCTGGCTGGGAAAGGGTGGTAGATGAGGCCGGAGGTCTGGGCGTCCTCAGGCAGTGCAGGCTTGGGGCAGGCAGCATCACGGGTTCCAGCCACCGAGCCACCATGTTGCTCACTGTGGAGGCTTGTTTCCTGGGCCCGGTCTGTCTCTGTGTTGAGTCCTTGGTTCTCTGGATCTGTGGTTGCTGTGGTTACACTGTCTAGGCCTGCATGCGATCCAGAGGAGCCTCCAGCTGTGCAGGCCCAGGTCAGCGTGAACTGGCTGCTCGCGGTGCCTCGTGCCGGGGGAGGAGTCCTTGGGGCTGGAGAAGCCCCCTAAGTACCCACAAAGGTCCCTGCCCCACCCCACCAGGGTGAACTCCAGGGTTGGGCCAACCTGTTCCCATCACTCACCCTCCGTGGGTCTTCTGTGCAGGGAGCCTCTGGCCAGGGTGACCCAAAGGCCCTTCCTGCTCAGACAGCCTGTTGTCTTGTGGGTAACACCCACATCCTCAGCCAGGCCCAGACCGTGGGCCACAGGGCTGCACTCCCAGAGCGCCCAGCCTGCGGCTTTGCAAGACTTGGGTGCAGAAGGGTCCCGGGTGTGAGTGTTCATCCATGTCCGTGTGTTCATCTCCATGTCCCTTCCTCTCCAGTGTAGATTCCTCAGTTCCTCATTTCAGAAACCTCCTTTGGCAAGAAACTCTATGCTCAACTGTCCCCCTCAAGATCCTATCTGGCCTGGCCCCAGGGGGGACTTGCCCCCCCGCCCCTCAGTTGTCAAGCATCTCCCCACAGCACTGTCTCCTCAGCAGCTCTTCTAAACCTGCTCTGCTCCCTGGAACCGTGGCTAGAAACCTCATCTTCTCCAGACACCTCACACTTACCTGCACCCCTGCTCCCTCCGCAGTGGAGAGGCCATGTCCAGCCCGCCTCCCCCAGGGCCTTCACACTCCATGAGGAGTCAACATCCCTGCTTCTCAATATCCGCCCCTCTCTCTCTCCCCCACTCTATCCATCCATCCATCCATCCACCCATCCATCCATCTCTCCTGGATCTGTCCCACTGATCAGCCCACTAATCTGTATGAGCTTGCTCAGGCTGCCATAACAAAGTACCACAGACTGAGTGGCGTAAACAACAAACATTTATTTCCTCACAGTCTGGAGGCTGGCAGTCCCAGATCACAGTGCAAGCAGGGCTGGTTTCTCCTGAGGCCTGCCTCCTTGGCTTGCAGCCTCCTTGCTGCCTCCCTCATTGAAAAAACTACGAGCCCCTGGATGCTTCATTCCCTTGGCCACTTCCTTTTCATGATTTAGCTTCTCCAAGTCCACCCCCCGTGTCAATTCCCTCTCCTTCCTCACCCATCAGCCCTCGCCAACATGCTGCCAAAACAGCCCCTGCCACGGCCTGATGCCAACACTGCTACCTAGCAACCACTTCTAACCGCGCACCGGGCCCAGCAAGCTCGCGCAGCCGGCGCAGCCCCTCCTTGCAAAGCTCCTCCTCGCCTCCTTCCTGCACAGTCACTAAGGGCCGGAGTCGGAGGCTCCCCCTTCTCGCTCTGTCCCTCTCCTAGACAGGCTCACCCCTGCCTCTGTCTCACCTGACCCGTGTGTCTAAACAGCGTCCTTCACTCTCCACCTGATGTCCCACAATCACCCCAAACCCTCCGTCTCCCGGACCAAACCTGTCAGATTCCCACCTCACCCCATCTCAGAGAATGAGTCCCCCATTTGTCCTGCTGCACCAAGCCAACCCCAGGGCCCCCCATGCAGCCCCTCACCCAGTGTCCCCACTGCACTCCATCACAGCTGTCCCGGGCCAAGCTGCTGTCCTCACTCTCCCTGCCTCTACTGTGTACCCCTCCCCATCCTTCTCGACACGGTGGCCCAAGTGCTTTCCTCCAGACCACTTTCCAAGAAGCAACGTGACGCAGTGGTTGAGAGCACCAGACGCTCGAGCTTGCACCCAGTTTCAAGCTGTGTGGCCTCAGGCAATGTACGAGATAGACCTCACTGGGTCTGTTTGCCCATCTGTGAAGTGGGAAGGATAATAGTACCCACTTCCCAAGGTTGTAGTGAGGGTTGAATGAGTCCTGCGTGGCCTGGTAGTTCTCAGCACGCCTCATCCCTCCTTCGCTGTGGGCTCTCTGCTGACGGAGCCCTTCATCTATAAAATGGGAAGAGCACCTCCCACCTTATATATTGTGAGAATCTAGTGAGATATTATAGGAAAGCATTCAAGACCAGGCCTGGCACTTAGTGAAACTTGGCAATGTTGGTTATTGTTATTATTTTCAAAATGCAAATCTAGTCGCAGCACTTCTGACAGCTTAAAACCCTGCCATTGCTCCCCACTACCTTAGGGATGGAGAGCAAAATCCTGCCCCAACCTCTAGTCTCATGGGGCTGGTCCCTCCTGCCATCCTGGCAGTTTCTCATTCCATATGCCCCGTATCACTCTGCCCTTCTCACCATTTGGCCTTTGCAGGTGCTGTTCCATCTGCCTGGAACACTGTTCCCTCTTCCATTTGATTAGCTCCCTCTCATTCTTCAGATCGCAGCTCAGTGTCACCATCTCAGGGCAAACTCCTAGACTTTCAATGCAGTGTTCACCCACCTGGGTCGTGGCCTGGCCTTCACAGCTCTTGTCATGGCTGCATTAGAGTGGCCCTTTGCTTAACGTCTGTGTCCCCGTGCCATGGGGAGCTAGCTCCATGAGGGCAGAGACCATGCTGGTCAGCTCAACTCTGTTACCCTCCAGAAGCCAGCACAGTGCCTGGCACATAGTAGGTACACAACCAATATTGAGGAATGAGGGAATACATGAGAGACTTGTTCCCCGACACCCCCTATGTGCCTGTTGCAGAGACTGGGGATCCGAAACCCACCAGAGAAAGGGTAACCCTGGTCGACTGGAGATACTGTCCCCACAGTCTGGGGACAGCCTGGGCCCCAGAGCCCAGAAAGGGTCATGTGAGCAGGCCCTGCTGCCAGCAGTCACCCAGACCTTCACAGAGCAGACCGGAGCAGTGACCTGTAATAACAATGATAATAATAACAGCAGTTTATTCCAGGCCAGGCACTGCCTGGCTCTATTTGTCTCATTTAGTGCTTCCGTCAGCCAGGAGTAGGAGGTGCTCTTAGTGCCCACACTTACAGTTGAGGGGATCCGAGTGCAGGAGCTGCATGACATGCTGGGGTCAGAGCTTTGAGTCGCTCGGCTCCTGCTCCTCTGGGCTCCTTCTCTGAGCATGTGGGCCCTCCTATGGCCGGGTTCACCTGTCAGAACTTCAGTCTCTTCATCTGGACAGTGGGGCTTTGGAGCCCAAAGATGCCTGCCAAGGACCCCCAACTTGGGGCAGGCAGAGGGTGTGGCTCTGGGAGGTGTCTTTGAGCTCAAACCCTCCCTGCCACCGCCTCCTGCCCCTGTTTCCTCAAATGTCACATGGACCTGGGGCGAGGGTTTGGACTCTGCCATCTCAGGTCCTGACATTCTTTCGGGAGCTCCTCGAAAGGGGTATTTCTGCTCACTGTCTCCAATTCCTTTTTTTCCCATTTTGTCTTTCTAAATGTTCCTTTTTTGTTTGCTTGAATCAGAAGTACATTCACATGGTTCAGATATCAAACTGATATAGAAAGGTTTACAGCAAAATAACCATTTTCATCAATTTCCTGTGTATCTTTTCCAGTATTTCTACACGTAAAAGCAAATATGAAGTTATATTCTATGTCCCCCTCCCCCTTATTACACGGGGAATGGCCTGGGCACATGCTATAGACAACACTGCTC